GTGATGGCGCAGACTCGGCAGCTCAGGTAAAGGAGGAAGAGCCCGGCGGCAGTAACGTGTTGCACAGCTGGTCGATGAAAACCAGAGGATGGCGGAGGAGAAGAGGAAGGCCAAGGTGGAGCGGAGGTGGTTCGACCATGCTGCCTGTTCGCTGACTGAGCTGGAAAGCTGCTGGAGAGGCTGCAAGAGCGGGAGGAAACGCTGAAGCACATGCAGAACTATGATCTTGGGGCAGCAGACACCAAGTGAATCTGCTTCCTGTGATAGAAACTCAGTCACCTCCGTGTTGAGCAGGGAGAACCAAGACCTGGCTCATCTGATTCAGAGGCAGCAGGTTGATGAACAGCGGGAGGTTGGACTTGCATGACAGTTTTGTCAGGAGCAAGTGCGAGAGGGAAAGAATGCCATCGGCGTGTCTGCTGAATCCTCCGGGGCAGCGAGGAGGATGCAGGTGGGTTGAGATGTCAGCGATGTTCGTTGCTGAGAGATGAAGGAACAGAGGCCGGGAGAGAGGGAGGAGAACTTGTCGAAGGTAAGAGCTGACTGGCGATGTTGGTCAAGATGTTGGTCGGTATGACGGGAGGAATCAAGGTTGCGCTGGTTACCAGAACGGATACCAAGGGGGACGGTGAAGTCCCCAAGTTCGGAGCTATCGTCAGCAACATGGTGGGAATGCTGAAAATGAAGATTGCTGCTAATTCCTTGTTCGCAGGGCACTCAGGCACACAAAGAGCGCCTGAAGAACTCCTTATTCGGAGGAGGAGGAGGAGGAGGAGGAGGAGGAGGAGGAGGAAGAGACTTTCTTGCCCCGTCCTCGTTCGCAGCAGCGCCGAGCGAGCGGGAGATGCGGCTTAGAGCGAGGAAGGAGGAGCAAATGATGCGGTCAAATGCGCCGGAAGAGGCCCCGCGCCAGAATATTTTTGCCCAGCAGGAGCAGGAGACGCGGGGGAGGGAGGTTCCAGCTGCTTCCCAGCTGTCGAGGAGAGAGCAGATCTTCGAAGAGAAGAGAAGGAGGTGAAGGCAAGAGGACCAGAGCGTGTGAGAGCTGAAAACATGCTGGCAGGCACTTGGAGCAGAGAGGAAGGGAAGGGGGCAGGGGAGAGGCCGCGGTGGAGGATACTAGGTCGTTCCTCCTCCTGGGCAAAGAGGTTCTAACTGGGCAAGGAAGAAGCAGGAATGGGGCGATGGAGGGAGGAGAGCGGAGGAGGCTGTCGAACGAAGATGCGCCGAGTGAGAGACTGGACATGTTCGGGGGGAGAACAAGATCGAGCCCGTGGCTAGCCGTCGAGCCTTCCAGGCTGAGCAGCAGAGCGAGCAGCGCGGTCAGGGGGGGAGCAGACGAGATCAAGTGTGGGAGGAGAAGAGGAGGAGAGCGATGGACAGGTCCTGCTGCTGCCTCGCATGCGCTGGAGGTGAGTTGAGCGTTGCTGCAGAGCTACGTCGGGGGCGAAGAAGAGCATGTGGGAGGATATGGCGAAGCCGCCCAAGTTCGCGGTGGAGGATGCGAGAGGGGGGGACGAGACCAGTCAACGGGTCCAGGTGGTAGGTGGGAGCGAGCTGGACAGGAGGTGACGGAGGAACAGGAGCTGGCAGGGAGGAATCGAGATGGAACAGGAGAGCTTGACATGCTCGACCAGGTGGAATAATTTACTCAGAGCGAACGTCTGAACGGAAGTTCGACATTTGCGTATCCTCCTCCATCGCTGCCCCTCTACTTCATCGCCTGCCCTCCCTCCCTCCTCCTCCTCCTCCTCCCTCTCCTCCTCCTCCCTCTCCTCCTCCTCCCTCTCCTCTTCTCCCCCCCTCCTACTCACTGTCTCATCTTAGGCTTACGATCAAAAATCTCGAAAGTTTCCGTTGCACACCAGACACGCGTCGGTGCCAAGTATCCCCGAGGAGGAGCCGATGACCAGACAGGTGCTGCTTGGACCCTGCTGGGCTGATTTGACAAGTAACTGTCATCCAGAATTTCAACGAGGAGGACGCGAGGGATCGAAGGAAACAGGAGTACGCCATGGAACTGCAGGCGCAGATGCAGGTAAATGTTCTCCGTCCTCCCCTCTCCCTCCCCTTCCCCCTCCTACCCTTGATTATCCCGCTCCTGCTCCCGCTCCCGCTCCCGCTCCCGCTCCCGCTCCCGCTCCTGCTCCTGCTCCTGCTCCTGCTCCTGCTCCTCCTGCTCCTGCTCTTCTTCTTCCTCATCCTCATGCTCGTCTGCCACTCTGCCACCTCCTCCTCGTGTTGCTGCATTCTGAATGGTCTGCAAGGCAAAGGCACAAGAAAAAGAGCGAG